ACACACACACACACACACACACACACACACACACACACACACACACAACGTCACTCACCTCACACTCCCCACGCACGCACACGCTGTGCGGGTCCTTGTATGAGCAGCGTGTGCCGTCCAGGACCATTCTCTGCATGAAGACCACGTCTCGTGTCTCCTTGGACTGGCAATGCAGGTGGCAGCGTTTGTTGGCTAGGAAACAAACACAAAAAAAATGACCCAATTGGCACATTTGAGATCTATTTTGATGAGTTCATCTTCACAACCAACATGGGATTACTTTTTATTTTTCTGAATGAGCTCTCCATGAGTCAGCGTGGCGCTCTGTCTCATTGTGTCTGTCTGTGTGACTCATAATACAACTACATGAGCCTCCAGAGACAAAACCTGGCAGTTCATCCCAGTGAGAATGAACACTTCTACTTCATCACGTTTATTACACATGGATTGCGTATTTATTACACAATCCAGAGACCTTGTTTTATGGTGCTTTGACACTAATAAGCAGGTGGCAGACGTGCTAGTGTAGAATTATAATATTTGCAAAAAACACGCTTTTCTCAGTCTGAACTGAGCAGAGTAGCAGAACTGCAGAGGTACAATACATTAGCTAGCCTGCATTTATATTTAAGATATGCTGTACATTAGCTGCCGATTCATTTTTATCTAGCTGCTCCTCACCTTTCAACGTTTCAACATGCAGATACATTTACAGTGTGGACAAATAGAAAATAATAAGCTTAATTTATGAGAACCCTAAAATGTTGTCAGGAGGTCACTTCCTATTTTGCACACTGCTCTATGAGGAGACATCTGATCACATCTGTGAGAAAACAGCAGACAATTTGGTTCTTACGATTTAATAGACAGACCAACAGATAGCGATTTGATGAATCCCTCTAAACAGCTGATTGATCAGCCAAACACACCCAGGGCAGCTTTACGTTTCGTGTTTCTTTGCTCACAAGTACAGTATATTACTATCTGTGTTGACTTGGGAAAACACCTAAATAGAGACAAAAGTACAACAGTGTGTCAAACGTCTCTGAACAAATACTACAATTTTACACTCGGAGCAGACGCACTCTTTTTCCCCCCTAACACTATCTGAAACTCAGGAGATGACAGACCATGGATGGAATTCAATTTCACCTCCCTGTTCACTTTTTTGTTCCCCCCCCCCCCCCACACACACACACATCTGTGCTAGCACACTAACACACACACTCACGGAAAAGTAATTTGAGACTGAAAAAGCCTCGCTGAAAATGATAAGAACTGAGAAAAAACAATTTAGCAAGGCTCCTCTTAGCGTAGCGTGACCTCCAATTACATATGGAGACAGCTCAGCACTTTACTCTAGGGCTGCCCTCTAGTTGGATGATAATTTAATACCTACCAGAAAGGCAGTGACACCTCCACTTAGAGACAGGGTGGGTCTGACAACCACACACACACTCATTTTAAAAGAGGTTTCAGATATTAAGTGAAGAACTCTAATAGTTTGTCCATATGTGCCGACTGATACAATGATGGAGAGAAAGATGTAGGAAGAGAGGGTTAGTGAAGTTCAACATGACATCAGTGAATGGGTGGAGAGAGAAAAGACACAGAGTTCAAAGAAGATTCTTTCCAAAGAGATTTCCAAAGAGATGGCGTGGTTTTATGGGAGGGCGTAGTCGTAGCTTAAAGCTGTACACAGCAGGACAGCCAGATGTTAAGAATGACATAACAGAACAACACCTACATATAAACAACCCTCTAAAACCCAACCACATTCAAGAATTATGTGTGTGCTTCCTCTTTTTGACTTTCATTCGTATTTACAACTTCCATTGTGCATCATGATGTCTTGTCATTCTCAGGCTGGTATATTCATTCTGACAGACTCTTACTGTCCACCAAACTACTTCATCCCCTTTTCCATCTGCGGGTGTATACTCACGGTCTGTGTGTTCATAAGGCAGCCAGTGGTGCTTGTTGCTGTAGATTTCAAAGCGGGGGTCCCAGGCGTGGCATTGCTCCTCTCGCGGATCGCTGTAGATATCCTCGCACTCGTTGGTGTCGCACATCTGGAACTGGTGAGTCGCCCCCATGCAGGTGCGGCCCCCGTTGGCTGGTCTGAGAGGGTTGCAGGGCACAGGACGCGTTATCATTCAAAACTTTGGCCTAGAAATGTTACATTTAACTCTTGTACAAATTTTCTTGATCAAGATCAGAGCTTCAGCTGAATTTAGCTCAATTAAGCACAGAAGGAAAACTTGCAATGTTTTACACACACACTGAGAAACACAGTTTCATACCTAGGATTGTCACAGTCGCGTGTGCGAAAGTGTACTCCTCCACCGCAGGTGCGGGAGCACTGGCCAAACTCACTCCACGTTCCCCAGTTTCCATCTTGCTTTATGATGTCAGGTGTCAACCAGATGCAGTGGCCTTTAAAGCAGTGCTGCAATGGGCAAATAATACATGAGACACAGGTGCTATTTGGATACACTGTGCCATCAAATTAGTTTTTTTCAACAGAATATACATATTAATGTTCAATAGTGTATCAATACCTTGCCATTGCCGCACATGGTGCCATCAATGGGCGGCCCTTTCTTGGTCTTGCAGAAGAAGGGATTGTCTGGGTGGCTACACCACAGCTGCTTACACGGGTCAAACGTGCGATACTGCAGGGCACAGAGAGAGACTCCTTCTTACAATTAATAGTCCTACTACACAGCACACACACACGGGGCCACAGTCAGGCCTTAAATAATACAAGTCAACCATCATGAGACAGCTGGAATGAGACACTGAAAATGAAAATAGAGATGAGAAGAGAAATATCACTACACCAATAACCACAACAGTATTATACCCAACAATAACAACATCGACCCTGCACTGTGTCACTGCACTGTACACTACGCTCCACTGAGAAACACACAGCCATTCATGCAAACTAAACCAAAGGATGAGAGAGAGAGAGAGAGAGAGACAGCCCGTGATTTAATTAGGTCACAAGGGAGGTCAGAGGGCAAAAGGTTGAAAGGCCAAAGGTGAGGTCTCATTGACCTCTAGAATGCCCCTAGACACAGATCAAGGACCAAATTCTCCTCCTTTTCGGATATGAACCACTGATGAGGATACCACCAAACTGACCCGTAGTCCAGGGTCTGAGGGGCCGTGCCCGCGACCCTCCTTTCCACAGACTTTCATACCCACCATGACCCCCGGAGACCTTTGCAGGTCAGAGTAACAATCAATGGCTAGACTGTGGTAGGTAATAACGAATGACATCAGACTGGAGGATCCTAAAAGCTGAAGTGAAACATGGAAAAACAGCCTCTGTTCTGGCTCAGCCCTTTCCCCTTGGACGGGAAAGACATCTTTCCAACATTTTTCCACTCGTTTATAGTCGTGAGTGCTCCAATATAATGAGGCTCTTCCTGCCAGAGATTTGCAGGAAAACAGTCAGGATATGGAATGGTTCAACTGTTGAACTGTACCATAGTCACTGAACCAGTATAGTCACAGTGTTTTTAGGCTTTCAACTGCCACTGTCTCTGGAAATAAGCATTTTAGAATCCTGCAGACTAACGTCCCAAATATGACGATGGGTAGAACAGAGAAAAAGTACAGTAAAAGAAAAGTAAGGAGCAACATTACAAACAATTACGACTTCTGAGGACAAATAGAAAAAGAAAATCTGAGAAAACAAATGACGGGCCACATGTCTTCGGGGAGGTGGGGTTACCTTACCTGCGATCCTGACTGGCCCGCCTTTTGTAGCTGAGGGGAATGGGTTTGACAAGAGAATAGAGGGTAATCTAGCAATGTGTGCAAAGCCCCCTGAATAAGCCCTTTGTCAATCAAGCAACAGTGTGCCACAGTGGCTTCACAGTCAAAGAGTGGGTGAGGGTGACAACGGGGAGGTTAGATGCCTGGCGAGATGCTGAAGCTCGTTGTGCTGTTTGTGCCAGGCTCATGTAAAGGCACTGTGGTATAAAGGTAAGCGTAATAAATATGTCTTTAAATCATATTTAACATTTACAACAGAAAAAAAGAAATGGCTATAAAAGACCATTACCTGCTTTTAAGCAAGATGCCAATCCCACCAGTGGCCGGGAGAGGAAAGCAGAGGACATCAGAAGAATGTGAACAGCTGTAAGGTGTGTGTGACTCTTTCATTACAATGTAGATCAGAGATAGATGATGAAAGTGCTGCGTTCAGTTCACAAGGAAAATCTTCAGAGCTCAAGAGTTCCCATACAAATGGATCTTCCACAGGAAAATTCAGCAAATTCTGAATAAACTGAACAGACTGAATTCAAAGTGAGTTTACCCCAACTCTGAAAAAACTGCATCATCTCAGGAGATAAAGTGACGGTTGTAGAAGTTGCCGTGAGTATTGTTAGTTAGTGTTAGTAAACTCTGACTATGTTAGTAAAGTGACCGTGAGACTATGGGGATCTCTTACCGCGGTGCACATCGTGTAGCCCACACCAAAGTCAAAGCGACACTGTTCATTCATGGAGTAGTGCAAACCAGGAAGCTGAGGCAGAGACGGCCAGTTGTGGTCAAAGGGGTCGTCCCGGAGACAGTCATAGGAACTGCAGGAGGAGTAAAAAAAAATGGGTTAAAATTGTATTTTATTTGGTTATTTTCTTTCAGTTATTCATGTCATCCTGTAATATTACGGATAAACGATTATTTTCATTTTGGATTATTATTATCTTAATTAATAATTTAGTCTATAAAATGCTGATTAATTTTCTGTTGATCAACTAATCAACTACTCGGTTTATCTCTTATGTACTTATTATTTAAACCCCTTATTCATTCAAGTGTTTTACGAGTAGTATGTGTGTCAGAAGCTGCCAACTTACCCAAAATAAGTAATTCAAATACATTTAATGGTGTTTAATGAAACCTTAAAATTTGGGCTTTTTCAACCTGGAAACCACCACCATACCATTTTGGCAGTAATGCTCGTACACTTTGTAATAGAATAATTTCTAGGATAACAAAATCCCAGAAAATATCAACAAGACGCAAACTCTTAAATATTGATGAAAGTCTCAACCTTCAAAATCCCATGTAATTAAACTCTAGTACGAGTGTGTGTGTGTGTGTGTGTGTGTGTGTCTCACTGAAGGTAGCGTCCCAGCTCTTGCATGCTACATCTGGACCAGTGGAAACGGTGGAATGCAGCTTGCACTAGCGGAGCCATGATGCTGCCCATGTGCACCTCGTCTCCACAGCGGTTCCCCTGACCATCGTGCTCCATCCCCAGCCTGCACACAAAGAGAGAGAGAGAGAGAGAGAGAGAGGTGAAGGGAAAGGAGACAAACCAGCGGAGACAGATTGGGAACATGTGGGAGGAGAAGAAGAACAAGTATGGGGAGGGAGGCAGAAGCAATTCTCTCATCAGATATTGACTGAGGTAACCAACGGACCAACATTGTAATAAATCAATACGGTCACATAAGTGACTGGTTTGTTGTCTTTTGCTGTACCATGAGAGCAGGCCTGAAGACTTCATTATGGCAAATGCACTTACACGTGTCCGGTCTCGTGTGCCACCACAAAGGCAGAGGAGAAACCGTCCTCATGGTTCAGAGTGCAGCTCCTAACCGGATGGCACATGCCCGTCACTGGGGCGTAACCTAGAGAGTAAGAGAGACCCACGAGTCAAGATTTACAGACTTATTCTGTAAAAAAAATACTTTGCAACGTTTGAACTTAACTTTTTTGCTCTTCACCATTGAAAGGTCAAGTTTCATTTAAATACATTTCATTGTGTCATTTTCTTTGTGTATTTCCAAAATGCCTTTTCACATACGCATGATGGAAAAGGAGCAAGACGTAGAAACACGGTGTATTACTTCTCAAAATACAAAAGGAAGATAGATATAAGTTCCATACCCACCAAACATACACACATCAGTGAATAAACATACGTATTATTCATTAAGTTCATACTGTCAAATTATTCAATTTGTATTCATTTTCTTAAATTAAATAATATTCAAACAATACTTTAAGTCAGTCTCCCAGCAACTCTTAAATTTGACTCCATATACTGAAATACACATCTGTTTAACTGATGTGCATTCGTGGGATCTGTGAGATGAAATTGATTTGGGTGAACTATACACACATTTTTACCTTAAATCTGTGACTTATCTCCAAAGATATGCAAAATATATACTACTTACACATAGCCAATCACACACACACACACACGTGTGCATGTTTGTGTGTCTAATCCTAACCCTAAACCGTCGCCTTCTACCCCTACATATGCCAATCTCCAACTCCCTGTGTGCTTGTCTGTCCTGTACTGCCTTTAATTGTGGGACTGTGGCTGGCCCTGCTCTGCCTATTGATTTTCTGCTGCTGAAGGCTGAGCCCAAGGGCAGCTGAAGGGCTTCTGGATAGCTAGGCCACTGCCTTTAGAGGCCTCTCCCCTGGGCCTGCCTGTTAGCCTGCACTCTGCTGCACAGAAAACCACCGAACCCACGGTGCACTATGCAGCTTCATGAGGCAGAGGCAGGAAGAGGGGAGTTTTCTGTGTGTACTCAATGAGTTCAAAGTAGGCGGGCATGCCGTTTCGATGTATGTACTATATGTTAATCGGTAAGAGTTTAGAATACCCTGCATGCCCGTGGGGCCAAATTCCTGGCGTGTGAGGAAGATGGCGTGATCGTGATACTCAGCGTCCCCCGTGTCCTGCTTCTGCTGAAGGAAGGCCCAGCGACACACGTTCTCCAGACTCTGAGATGGGTTCCCCAGTTCAATCAGACTCATGGACTGGAATAAGAGAGAGGCACACAGGAAAGAGAGAAGAGGGGGTAAAGATTATACAAAAAACAGGGAAACCTGCTTCTCGTTTTAGCTCCGGTACAATAACATTTTATTCAGCCCTGTAGGGGGCAGTGTCACAATGTTACATATTGTCAGCACATCTTGCAAATTGCTGAGGTGTACAACACACACTCACTCCAAGGGATCCACACTCACACAATACTGCTCCTGTAATCTTGATCATTTCAATAATGAATAAGAAACTGAACACAGAGCTGCCTATTAATAAGTTATGCACTAATAGTCAAAAACATGTCCAATTACAGAATATTTACTTATGATTAAATGAACAATACCAACATTCACACAAATCCACCCGGATACCAGCAATTCCTTCCATTCACCTTCACCTCTCATTCTCTTCCTCATTAGGATCTCTGCTCCCCTCTCCTCTCTCTCCCTACATTCTGCTGTACAACTCTTTCCATGCCTCTCTTCCACTGCTTCCTTTTTGCCTCACTTTCTGCATTTCCTCCCTGTTTTCACACACTAACAATGCACAGCTGAATCAAACGGGGAAGAGTGTGTGTATTGTGAGTGTGCTGCAGTGAAGACATATGGCCGGCCTTTGCACAGGCTCTAAGACAGAGTAGGTACGTGTGTGTGTGTGTGTGTGTGTGTGTGTGCTTCATCATGTTCATCAGGTGCTTGTGTGTGTGTTTCAGTGTGTTTTTATGTTTAAAGATGTATTTGGAATGGTGTGTTGTGTGCACTTGTTGTGTTAGAGTGTGTGTGTGTGTGTGTGTGTGTGTGTGTGGGTGCGCCTGCATTCAGGGTCACATAGCCAATCTGCAGGCTGTCTGGGTGCAGCTCTGTTGCCACGGTAATTGGGGATGATGGACAGCCAGAGCTTTGGCTGAAGCTGCGTAGGGGCTGGCCCAGAATGACCAATGTAGGAGTGTGTGTGTGTGTGTGTGTGTGTGTGTGTGTGTGTGTTTCCAGAGATCCACTGGGACTGTAGACATGTAGAGAGGAGAGGAAGAGATAAGGCTACAGCAGCATAAGTGTATCACAGAGCACCTATCCAGCAATAAAATCACTTCTGTGGGGTAATCCCAGCCCTTCTCCATTCCTGCCATCTCTTGCTTTATCTGTGTTTTTTTCCCTCTCTCTTCCACCCCACTCTCTTCTTCTCTTCGGCACAGGCAGGAAGATAGCGTTACAGTCAAGAAGAAAAGGATGCTACCCCCATCGTCCAGTCTCTCTGTTTATGAATGAGGGAGGGCTATTATTGATTGTTTATCTTTGCCTGGACTTCCCATGATTCTGTGCAGCAGCCTACTGGGAGGAAGGCTGATTGCATAACGGGCAGAGTTTCTGTGTGCTTTGGTGCTGAACTGTGAAGGCGTGCGACTTGAAAACACTCCCCTGGGATGCTGCATGCTTTTAGTTCCTCTTTTGCTCAGTCCACTGGAATAACAGGCTCCGGGCATCAGTGCGTGCTGATGAATGTGTGTGTGCGTGTGTCTGTGTGTTTGTTTATGAGTGCGTGTGTGCCTGTATGTATGTATGTACGACTGGACTGTGCTTACTGTAGGTACTTAAAGCTATTGTAGCAAAATCCTAGTATCAGAGATAGTGCTGATAGAGAGACAAGGCAACCACTTTTCAGGAAGTGCATCACAGGCGAGGTTTGAGTATAACACATCAGGTCTTACCTTGCCGTAGCCCAGCATGATAATCCTCACCAGCACCACATTGATCTTTGCTCCCAAAGACTGGTCATGGTAGATCTCATTCACCTGGAGTCACGCAGAAAAACACAAGAGGGAAAGAAAATGAGTCTCAGCAGAAGAATTACAACAATATCTAAACTAATATTTACAGGGTTTGTAAATTGTATCTAATAGATTTATTAATGGTTGATACGGTAAAGATTTTAATAATGGTTTACAGATCAGTTATAAGCCGTTACTTAGGACAACGTTTGAGTTGCTGGGTTGTGATGCTATCAATCCAGAAATGTATGCTCATACATGCATACTAATTTCTAATAAACTACTAAGTCTGCTGGTATAAATGTTAGTAACTCATAAATAGGTTTTTATAATAATCCATCAATTCTAAACAACTCCATTTTAATAAAAGGTTAAAGCTTATGAATGGCTTAAAATAGATTTGTAATCACTAATTAACCATGAATAGTACAATTTATAAACCTGTTGTAAAGGGTGCAAATATCTGACTTAAGTATCCCACCAGCAACACAGTGATATGAGATACTAGAAATGAAGAGACAGGAAGTTCTCTCAAAAGAGAGAAAAGGAAGTTGAGGAGAGGGCAATGAACTCAGTTTCCCATGAGCACAGATGGAGAGGAGATGAAGGAAGAAAGATGCAAAGGAAGGGAAGAGCCTAATGCAAGGAAACAAGGTAATGTGTGACAAGGGAGATGCAGAGAGCATTATACTGGTGAAACACACAGAGAGAGAGAGAGACAGAGAGAGAGAGAGAGGTAGAGAGAAAGAAAGAGAGAGAGGTAGAGAGAAAGCGAGAGAGAGAGAGAGGTAGAGAGAAAGAGGTAGAGAGATGTAGAGAG